GCAGACTGGCTAGCCAGTCTTAAAAGGAGCCGAGTTTGTGGGGAGGTGAGTGGCGTTGATTTACCTGGTACCCAAAAGCATAAAATACCTGACAGTTTAGCACGTGGAACGGTTCCTGGCCAAAAATGTGTTTTGCCTCTTGAAGTTTCATGTATCAACTAGTTGAAATCTCATTCCCCTGTGAGGCACTTCAGATGTGCGCTATTTACGCTGCACGTAGTCTTCTGTGCATGTGTGGCCTGTCGTAGCACATGCTTCTCAATATAAAAACATCCTTGGGTTCCCCCCTGAGTGCCCAGAAGCACCAGGCTGGAAGGGTCGAGGTCCTTTGCTGCTGGCAGAGAACTCGCAGAACCCCTGTGTTCAGCTAGGGTACCTCTGCTTGGCTTTCGTAGCTACTCTAAAGGACTGTGAGAAGTGAGGAAGGTCCTTGCAGATACACCTGTTAGGAAAGGGGAAGCAAAAAGACTCTGTCTAGTGACAAACTGGGATTTGTTTTAGAAAATTCGCTTTAAATTTTAATCTGAAAGTATTTTAATTGTACTTTCTGCTGTATAGTACTTGTAATTAGTTGAACAAGTAGTGGTGCTTTGTGTGCATATATATAAGTACGGGCATTTCGCAGTATGTCATATAATGAAGATGGTCACAATGAACTATTCAGTTGGGGTTTTTTACAGTGATTTTTAAACTTTTTTACACATCTGAATATTAGCATCATTGTAAAACCACTCCTATTTAACTTCACTTGGTTCTCCAGTACCAATAGTAGCTGCACTTGTGCCTACAGGAAGGAGGTGCGTGTCTATTTTATCCTATTGCAGGTCTTTAGTTCCTTTAGCTACTGTGTAAAAGACTTCAGTGCCTCGCCCTAGGTTACTTCCATTCTTCTGTTGAGTAACTCCAAAGGTGTGAACAGGATATTGTGGGAGGGATCAGAAGAACACTGACTTTTTTTGGCCAAAGAAAGTGTTAGGGACCGGGAAGGTGATCATCTGATTTCTAACTTTCTCCGTGTTAATGGGGAGGGCTCTAACTTCCAGATTAATTTTTAGAGTTTGTATTTGGTTAATAGAAGGGTATATTATAAGTATAAAAAATAGGTTTTGAACTGTGGAATGTTTGTTCCATGTAAAGTCTTCACTGGATATCTTCATCTCCAAAGTTAAAAAATATTTCGAAGTAGAACCTCCTATAGCTCTCTTAAGTTCTCTGGTTTTCTTCATGTATTTGTAGTAAATATTTGGGTAAGTTATACACTTGGATATTTGGAGTGGTAGCCAGATTATTTTCATATCAAACTGGAAGTCTGGAGGATTCCCCTCTTCCCTTCCATAGTAGTGTTGTTTGCAGTAGGACTATTAAGTGCATTTGTAGGGTCTTCTCATTCTTTGGAAACTGCTTGAAACTTAGCATGGCCTGGCTTCAGGTGGAAATAAACTCGGTGAGTCTGATATCTCTATCAGGCTCACCTGTATTAATCTAAAAGACATAGGTTTAGTCACCAAGGTAATGTTGTGAGTGATTACAGAATAGTGACTAAATGATACTGAAATCCATCATTAAATTTTTCAATAAAATTCTGATGATTCATTTGTTTGTTGTTGTTTTTTTTTTTTTCTTAAAGCTAGCGATTCTAACTTAAATGATGTTAACTGCTCGTAAAGCCAGAATGGGATGCTTTATTTCTGACTAGCCGTTAATATTGCATCAGAAACCTTGAGTCTTATCTATTTTCGTGCACTTGTCTTCTAACCTTTATTCTGTCTAGCTGCTGTATTTAATTTCTATACAGATGCTCTCTGTATAGAAAGCATACACTAGTGTACGCTTATGTTTGGAAAGTGTTTTGACATCCCTTTTAGTCATGCCTGCTTTTTTGTAATTGAATAAAAATACAAATATTTTGTCTCAAATTGTTACAAAACGAGTCATTAAAGGCAATGTTTCAAAAATCTGCAATTAAGCAAAGAAACAATAGCAATTCTTAAAAATAAAGCACAGAATCCCTAATTGATGAACAGGGATTTTTGCCTTTTTCGTTATTGTTTTGTTCAGATAGATTTTGATCCTTTTGAATTCTTGGTAATCCAGTTCCTCTCTAACGATAATTTTGCTGTCAGTGATGAAAGTGGATGCAGAAATAACAGTTGCTGTGCATTCAGTCATTGTAATCAAATACTGTTTTAAGGGATGATCTTAGAGTAACTTGATTTTGAATTGTTCTGGGATTGTAACTCTAGATTCAATAGAGGATAACTGGATAGTAAAATCATTTTCAAGAACTAGGAATGAAACTGTTTAGCCTTGGCAGTTCATTAAATAGCATATTTTAAAATGTGTGTATGTATTGCTTAAACATATCTCATAGACTTGGGTAGTTTTCACGAGGATGTGAAGAGGGCAGAGGAGACTGACCAAGTTGTTTCAGTGTTGAGATGATTCAAGGTGTCACACTTAAAACCAGCTGATAATCTGGAATTGCTCAAGAATTGGATTCCTGTGGTTTTTTAATTTGAGCTGTTCTTAAATATGTTATTGGAAGTTGGGAATGTTATTGATCTTTTTGAGTTAGAGGGTTCTCAGTCTTTTTCCAGTAAGTCAGGCTTTGAAAGACTCTTACTGTTTAAAAAAAAAAAAGAAAAAAGTGTTGCCAACAAGCATTAGATGGATCCTAACTTGTGAGCATTGTGTTGCCCTGGATATTAGCTATTAGCACTACTAAAATGCTTTGGAATTTGTAGTTTCGTAGCAGAAGTGAAGTTCCAAAGCTCGTCTAGACAGTCCCTATAGTCCTAGGGAAAACCCTTTGATTTTTAGAGACTGGTAGAGAATTATATGCCCTATTGTCAGCCTACAAGGGTAAAAATTTAGGAGGAACAGTTACTACAGGTACTGTGTTTTTTGCCTAGCTCTGTAATGATTTATTAGACTGCAGTTGTATGTATATATCTATCTATCTATCTATATCTTTGCGGTATAACTTAGATTAAGTAATGTCAGCATTCCAGAGACACATCTAGATTTTTGCAATAAATAGAGAAGATGCCTTTTTTTGGTAACTTGTGGTATTTTTTTCTTGACAGTTTATTCTTCTAAACTAGAGGTAGTGTAGTGCTGTTTGCTTGCCTTTTACTGCAGGGCTTGGTGCCAGGACCTGTCAGTCCTGCCACCTCCTCTTCCCTCTTCTGTCCTCTCTTCCCCCAATTCATCCCTGTCCCTGTCCTGTCCCCCCCGATCTGGGTTTGTTTTCAGCCAGCTTAGGGCCTGACTGTGAGATGGTGCTGGTGACGGGAGGGAGGAAAGAGGGGAGAAGGGGACTGCAGCAGCCTGACTTAAGAAGCTGTAGGATCTCATCCTTAGGATATAGTTTTGTGTTGCACTAATTCCTGAAAGCGGAGATCCTGCACCCTTCCAGTTCCTCCTGCCTGTTTGCCCGCTTCCTTCTCCTCTCCCCTGCAATCACGTCTAACTGGTTGTGTGGGGCCCCAAGGTGTTGGTTGAGCTTGTTGAGTTGATAGAAACATTTTTTTCCCTTTGGAGTGTGTATGGCCAAAGCAACTGAAAACTATCGGTAGATGGGAACACAAGGCAGAGGATGGGTGGGAATGGTAGTCCTTGTGGCAGCCTGCCATTAGGTATGATTAGATGTTATATGAAACAGCTGGAGAATTCAGCCTAGGCTTATTTCTGGCTGCTAACCAAAGTCAATATAATATAGAACGTTATTCTATATCGAAAGAATGCTGTCTGTACAGAGAATGCTCCTTAACTTGTAGCTAAGGAAAGGCACGAATATTGCAATACGTAAGAGAAATGAAATTGTTTTCTAGGCAGCAATTTTTTAATTGCGTAAGCATTTTAGGCCATTAGGATTCTCTTAACTTGTTTGACCTCTGTTCAAAAAATAATTTTAATTTTAGTAATATCTGTAATAATATTTAGTTTTGACTTAAAACTTTCAGCCAAGGAGGCAGCTTTTCCATATGAGAAAGGGTGGGTGGGTGATGTGTGATGTGCATGAGTACAAGTAACAGTGGAGTTCTGGGTGAAAGAGCCAACAGACACAGTGTGCATTATGTTACACTGAGAAAAGCATGGTGGATGTGTGCTTTTTATTTGCTGGTTTTACAGTGAATTGGATCATCGTGTTTTGTGTCACAACAAAAAGCTGAGATTATCGGCAGGATTTGCATCAATAAAACACATGTCACTATTTTGATAATCTTACTGTTTTGTTTTTTCTCTTCTCTATTCTGCTGAAAAGCATGGGAGGCACAATACCGCCTGCTCCAGCCAATGCCTCCACAGAGGAGACAAGTAAGGTGAGATATGAAGAGTTTATCATTGAAAACTAACATTTGGAGGCTCTGCAAAAATTACTGAGCAGGAGAAGGGTAAAAATTGCTGCCATTTTTCACTCAAATAGGGTGGGTGAATATGCTAGGGTGAGTGAATGTGACAGTTCAGTCTGAAGCCTGCCCATTGCATGATGTAGATGACTTGTTGCAGATGGCTTCCTAGTTTGTTTCAAGTGTTATTACGCTCCATTTGCCTAATCCTGAATGCCTGATATTCTGTGCAATGCAAGAGCCAAACAAAGTCTTGATTTCTTTATGTTCTCACTGTCTGTTTATACACCTCTTCTGTAGTCATTAGCGGATTCAATTATAATCTTTGCATGAGAAGAAATATTAGTGAGCATAATAGGTAATGAATTGAACAGTTGAACTATCAACTTTTTAAGGCAGTATTGTGGAAGAGTTTTTCGTTGTGTTTGTTCATTTGTTTTAATGGAGATAATACATTTGGCTTATAGATATTTATAGCAGGATTTTCCCAAGCTTGAAATTCTTTTGTAAAAAGTAGAATTTTTTTTTTTTTTTTAATTTAACAAGGCAGCGGATACTGGAATTACTGGCTAGTTAGAACTGTATGGAGGGATTATGTATCTGTAGTGAGTATAGTCTGTGACACTGAATATGAACACAAGCAGCTTATGTCTGTGATAAAGCAGGATGTGCTAAGTTACGGAATTCAGAGGAACTCAGTAATGTAGTTAGAAGTCGATAGGAAAACATTTGAAAAAACTTTCGAAGTATGTATAAGTGGCAAAGATCTCTGACTTTGGCAAAAGGAAACAATATTTTGATCCTTGACACCAGCTTATTGTTCACTGCTAAAGGACCTTAGCTTAATAGTATTAGATTGAGAGAATTTTTGATCCAGAGAATGTGTGAGGGAAGGCAGGAAGATCGGAAAGGTTGGTTGGTTGCAAAACTGGTTCTGAATTGGGTATTATCTGGATTATTTGGTTTTGATTATTGAATTACGCAATTTGAAGGACAGGCTTTACCAGTAGTAGAAGTTCATGAGTCAAAATTTGGGCTCTGAATTATTTGCATGCATGATAGACTTAATCTGAGAGGAGGAAAAAGGAGATTTGTATCTTAAAAATAAAGCAGTTTAGCTGCGGAGCAATCTGATGCTTTGAAGGTTAATTTTGGATTTTCTGATGCATTGTTATTTATTAGAGAGGGAATAGAATATCAGTCAGAAATAATGTATGCTCACAAATACATTTCTCTTTCAGGGCAAGGCAGAGGAACAGCCAGAGGAGCCAGTTAAACCACCAGAACCAGAAAGTGAAGAGAGCGACTTAGGTGTGGGAAAATAGATGACTTTATGACATTTAACCAATTCGAACATGACTCTGGAAATCCTCTCTCTGTTTGTAAATGAAGCTTAATGTAGCTTTTTGGTTTTCCCCCAGAAATTGATAATGAGGGAGTGATTGAACCAGACAATGATGCCCCTCAAGAAATGGGAGATGAAAATGTGGAGGTAAGCACAATATTTTCAATGCCTGTGGCAGTAGGAAATATAGGGAGAGGTTTTGAGTTTAGTCAAGGATAGCAGCTAGAGGGGGGATGAGTACTATATTAGCTAGGCAGTCAGTTGTTGCTTTGGCTTTTTTTCTCCTAAACAGAAAACTTACTAAACAGAAAACCACAGTCTTTTCTTATTCAAGGTTAGAGTCTATTAAAAAGTTCAATGAGGAAAATCAGGTCAGAAAACACAAAAAAAAAATTATCAAAACAGCCATGAAAACTAGATATGTAGAAATCTGCCATTATTCAACTTATCTTTTGAGCATTTTCTAGCTAAAAATAATGGTGGCTAATGTCCTCAAGCTGAAAGCAAAAAGTTATATTTTTTTGAGCTATGATTTCAATGCAAATTAAAAACAAGGTTCTGGAATCGGAAAACAGGAGCTCCCTTCTTTGGCACTCTCTGAAGCTGGTCTTTGGCTGGTAATTGTGGACTGGACTCTACAGGTTTTGGGTTTTGTGTATGTTTTTAATTTTCTTTATTTTCTTAGGTAACTGAAGAGATGATGGATCAAGCTAATGAGAAGAAGATTGAAGCGATAAATGCTCTAAGTGAAGGTGATTAAATTGGTTTTTAGTACATATTCAAGGACATTAAGTTTGGTTCTCCATTTAAAAAAAGGAAGTAAATATCTTGGACCATTTTGGACGCTTTCGAGGAAGAGAAAACTCACTTCCTGTTGGATACCCAAAACTATCTAGAACATGAAAGCTTCTTCAAGTACTGTCTTTCCAATGTAGCTATAGTTTTGGGCAGGGATGGGGGGGAATGAGGTACTGCAGCATCTTAATTACAAATTGATTGTTATAGTAGTTACCTACGTATTATGATTAGTGTCTCTAGTGGTTTGTCTTAATGCAGTGAAAAGCTGTGTAATGAAGAGGTGACTTCCTATTTGATTGCATACAAAGTTAAATGCAGAAATTTAACTGGGAAAAGTGTCTTCCCCTGCAGCATTAATTTTGGAGTTTGTACTTCAGTACCATAGCAAGGGGGAGAAACGGATTTTCCTTTGTTGACAATGTTCCATTTAAGAGGTGCCTAGGGACATAACACCCTGTAAGGCAGGGTGTATGGCAATTTGGATGTAATTTCATTGCGTAATGATTGAGACTTTACTGGTACTCGTATTTAGGTGAACTTCAGAAGGCTGTCGACTTGTTCACAGATGCTATCAAGCTGAATCCTTGTTTGGCCATCTTGTATGCCAAGAGGGCAAGGTGAGTCATTATAAACTAGTGACTTATGTTTCTGCCTGTTCTGTTATTTTCCCTAAGGAACCTAAATGTAATGGCAACTTGAGGATCTATGTAAACTTAAACCACATGAGGGAAAGAGAAAAGTACACTTCATGCATTTTCTCTTATATGTGATTAAGCAGATTTGCTGAAGCAGCCATATAAAGAATCTTGATAATAAGAGTAAGTAACAGAATGATGTTCCAAAATGCATTGTGGCAATATGGCTTTTGGTATGTTGAGTTAGAATAATGCTGGGTAAAAAACACTTGTAAGATCTGAAGTTTATTCTGGGATTAAGATGATGATTGAAATCGTGTCCTGTTCAGATGCAAAGTTAATTGTGGATCATGTGAATTCTCTCCCTGTTGTACCTGCTAAATGAATTCATTCACTGTGAAGTAGACTTGTTTCTGTTCAACAGCCCTGCGTCTGAACAGGACACACCTATTTCTCAACCCATTCAGTATCCACCTTGCTGCTAATAACATCTACCAAACTGCTGATAATGCATTGGGAACGTTGTCAGATTTGATGTGTGGTAGCCCTAACTTCATAATCCATCAACATATTTATCTTCCTAATTCTTGAATAAGACAGAGCAAGTATGGGTTGCAGAAGGAGAAGCTCCCACAGACTTTTTTTCATTTTTCTCCTTTTACACAAAAAAAACACTAACCATGGATGATTTGATAGTTTAGTGGATCTTTTCCATAGCAAGGTGTAATTCAAAGAAATGTTCAACTTCTGATGACTTTCATGTGATTAATTAATGTCCTTTAACTGTACTGTTCTATACATCTTAACTGGTACATGCCTTGCTGTTTTTTCCTTTCCATATCAAAGTTTTTGCATGTAACACCACTTGTGTACCTTAATACACTGTTGTGGTTGTTGCCATCACAGTAGTATTTTTAAAACCTCCTATAGTGCCGTATCTTCTCAGGACTGGGTTTAGCAATGAAAAAAAAGAATGTTAGGAGAAGTTTAAAAGTTACTTCAATTTGGTCTGTTTTAGAAATAAGCAAACAATATATTGGGATATTGTAAAACCTGCAGCGTAATGGCAGTGCTGATCAAGTGCTGTGAGTAATCCACCTCTCTGGTGGACTTGGGTTTTGGTTCAGGGGGGTTTGTGTGTTTGGGAGACTAGGGATTTTGTGCAGCCAGCAGCGTTGGAATGTCTCTCATTGGTGACGTGTAGCTTTGAGACAGTTTCCCGACACAGTGTCCACCTGTTTGTTTCTAGAAAAGAATGTGTGACTTTGTGCTTGCTTTATAACAAGCTTTAATGGTGATGTTACTTGCAGGCGCTCTAATTGCTGATAAATTGTTTTCAAGTAGATGTAAAGGGGCAGAAGTTCTGACTTGAAGTATCTTGAATATCAAATACTTTTGTCAATTCAGGAATGGTTTTATAGTGTTTCCTTCAGTGGTTTTTAATTTGAAATGCCTGAACCTCCTAAAGTACTGCCCTACTAGTTAATCTGATGTGATTGTGTATTGTAAAATTTGCAGTTATTTCACTTAACTGACAAGGGATTGAGGCTGTTTTCTGGGTTTGTGTTTTGTTTTGCCTCTTAATTTTGATGACTCGCCTCCTGTCTCTTTTTGTAGTTCCTGATGATTCTAGCCATTGGTCCTTGTAGCCTGTATGATAACTCGTGCTTTCTTTGTCTTACTGTTTTAAAGACTGTAATATGGCGTGCATAATATTGTTGTTTTGTTCAAATTGCTAGTTGCCATTGGCTATAGACTCCAAACACCATGGAATTGAACTGTCCTTTGCATTTATGCATCCTTTCCTTGTGCACTAAAGTTATTCTTGCTGGCAAGGCTTGAGTCTGAACAATGAACGCTTTTGCATCTTGCTAATGATTCACCTGCAATGGGGGACACCCACACTAAATTTCAGTGACTTCATTATCACTACAAAATCTTTTTGAACTCAGCTCTTCAAATGTATTATCTCACTAGCTTGCCTGTTAGTCATCCAAAATTATTTCCAGCTTAAGTTAGTAACTTGGTATTTCAATACGTACAATAAATGTTCTTGTTCCCACAGTGTTTTTGTGAAACTACAGAAGCCAAATGCTGCCATTAGAGATTGTGACAGAGCCATCAAGATTAATCCTGACTCGGCACAGACCTACAAATGGAGGGGGAAAGCACACAGGTAATGAACTGCAGCTGTACTTGATATTCTCTTTCCTTACTTAGGGGGAACAGTTTTGTTTATGCATTCTCTCCTTCTCTGTGTCTCTGAACTGTCTGTCTTGTACCTGAGAGCAGTAGCCATGAGCCAAGAAACTATTGTGCTGAGTGTATGGCTTACAGGAAAGAAAGGATGATGGTGATTTATTGATGGCAATTTATGAGTAGCCCTTCTGGCACTGTCTTTTTTTCTTTCCTTTTTTTTTTTTAAACATATCTTCTAATGGGTTACTGCTGTTCTGAATAGCATTTTCTAATTTGCTAAAGATTGAGTTCTAGGACTGTGGGTTTTATTTGTTTGGAGGTCTTTTGTTTTCACTTCAGTTTTTGTTTACTAACCTATAATTCTTAAGCATTTCTGTGCTGCCCTTATTCCATTAGATCCTAAAGCTCTTTTACATAGTAAGTTAAACTGCCTAGTTATTAAGGGAACCATTTGTTGCAATTGAAGAGTGCTATTAAGCAAACAGTGTAATTATTTAAAATGGCATTAGGCCAGCATGCATCCCCCAACTGTAGTTAAAGCTTTTTTTTTAAAGATAATAAATCAGCAAAAAAAAAAAAAAGTGACACTTTTTACGGTCTGTATAAAAGTGGAGGGAGTAAATGCTAATAGAATTTACCAAAAAAAGGGCATTTTAAACAGTGATCAGAGAGTAGTTTGTTAATGTCTACAGTTTTAATAAATGGCATGGAGCCTAAGAGTGAGAAGACTGGAGCACAGTTTGGATTAACACCTGTCAGAAGTGCTTTGACTATTTAGGAATACCACTATTTGCTTAAATTTTTGATTATCAAGAGTTTGTATAAATGAATAGTTAAGTGTGCACAGTAGCTTGTATGACCTCTTCAGCTAAGACATGGTGCATCCAGTTAGCTAGGGTGTTTGAGTGCTGAGTAAAGAGGGTCCACTTAAGCTTGAGGTAGTAGTGGTGTGGACTTGTACAGAACACTGAATGTGTAGTTTTACACTGAACATGTGCTGAGTGGTGCAGAGTATTTTTATTAGTGTACTTCACATGTTTAGGTAGGGTACCTTCTCCCTGTTAGACCCTTCTTGTTGATGGCAAACAATGACGCTAGCTGATGGAGGGTGTTTTCCTCTCATTGTTACTTCAAACAAAGTTATCGCAAGGGTATGAAGCAAGCAAGTATCCTCTAATGGCATGGTGGCATGCATGTTACAGAAAACACCGTGATTATTAAACTTTTAAGTCCATATAGCTGCAGGTAAAAATACTGAATGCCGCATGGTTGTAAATATTCTTAAGAACTATAAGAGTTCAGTTTGCTTTTTCCTTCTGAATATTGGTGTCTTCTGAATTCCAGACTTCTGGGTCACTGGGAGGAGGCTGCTCGTGATCTTGCATTAGCTTGTAAACTGGATTATGATGAAGATGCTAGTGCCATGCTGAAGGAGGTGCAACCAAGAGTAAGTGGGGAGGCATAATGGAGGTCCCGCCTCTGTTTGAGTGACATCACTGCCTTCACATTCTTCCAATATGCATTGTCTTGTGGGATTGTGTTAATGTGTCATCTGACGCTTCAAACTGAGTTTATAAATACTTCTGTCTTCAATCACAGCTGTTTATGGCTGTGTGTAGAGAAATTTAGTCTCTGGGGCTGGGCTTGTAACCAAACTATGAAATATGTTCCTTTTTAAAATCTTAACAGAAGAATCTGAAGCAGTTGAAGTTTTCCAGGCATTTTAGAATCTAGACTAAAAACATTCAGAGGGGCAAGAGAACACTGATAATGGATTTTTTTCAAGATGTTTCTAAATTGATCAAAGCTTCATCCTAAACATGTTTTACAAAGGAAACACTCTTTGCTGTGATTTGTATTTTCATTAGTCTACCCCATGAGGGCAGCGTAATCTCTGTAAGACTGTTTTTCAGCTTTTCTCAAGTGATTGATCACAGCGTTCTTCTAAGGAAAAACTTTTGTGTAAAAAAAAAAAAAAAAAAAAAAATCTGAGACTGTTGATAGCAGGCTTTCTTTTTCATCTGTTTTGCATATTCCTTTAGAGCGGTTGACAGACCACAGATTGCAGCTGTTGCATTGTATTGGGTTCATGTGGCAAGGTTGGGGGGAGGTGGAGACTGCAGGGCTGGCGTCTTGTAAGAAGAGACATGCGGCTGCCTCTGTGTCAGACGGAGCCAGTTCCAGCTGGCTCCAAAACAGAGCCAAAGCTGAGCCAGTCAGCTTCTGCGATAACATATTTAAGAAAGGGTTAAAACACAGTGCAACAGCTGTGAAAGAGAGGAGTAAAGAAAAAAAATGAGAGAAGTAACCCTGCAGACACCAAGATCAGTGAAGAAGGAAGGGGAGGAGGTGTGCCAGGCACGGGAGCAGAGCAGCCCACGGAGAAGACCATAGTTAAGCAGGTTGTCTCCCCTGAGCCCATGGAGGTCCCCATGCCAGAGCAAGTGGATGTGCCCTGAAGGAAGCTGCAGCCCATGGAGAGTCCACGCTGGAGCAGGCTCCTGGCAGAAACGGCGGCCCATGGAGAGGAGCCCACGCAGAGGCTGGTTTTCTGGCAGGAGCTGCAGCCAATGGGGGACCCATGCTGGAACAGTCTGTTGCTTAAGGACCATACCCTGTGTGGATGACCCACGCTGCAGCAGTTCTTAAAGAACTGCAGCCTGTGGGAAGGACCCACATTGGAGCAGCCTGTGAAAGACTGTATCCTGTGGGGGGGACCCCATGCTGGAGCAGGAAAAAAGTGTGAGGAGGAAGGAGTGGCAGAGGTGCAGTGTTATGAACTGGCCACAGCCCCCATCCCCCTGTGCCATTTGCGGTGGGGAGAGGAGGTCGAAGAGTGGGGAATGAAGCAGTGAAGTGCAGCTTTGGGAAGAAGAGTAATAGGGGGAAGGTGGTTTTTTGTCTTTGTTTCTCATCATCCTACTCTGTTTTTAATTGGCAATAAATTAAATTAATCTTCCTCATGTTGAGTCTGTTTTGCCTATGATGGTAGTGGACGACTGATCTCCCTGTCTTTATCTCAAGCCAGGAGCTTCTCCATCTTATTTTCTCTCCCTGTCCTGTTGAGGAGGGGGAGTGAGAGAGCAGCTTAGTAAGTATCTGGCAGCCAGCCAAGCTTAACCCACCGCATGCATAAACATTCCTGTGTCTAGTAGCTTCAGCTTTCAGTTTTTTGTAGAAGACACTGTCTCCAATAAAACAACAATGGAAACCATCTTACAACCTATTAGTCTTCTGTGTTGGAGACTATTGATCTGTGGTAAATGTAATGAGGTCTTAGATCTCAACCTTTTTTATAAGAGCTATATTTAATGCTTGGCTGAGGGGGAACCTTTTATTTCCTAGTTAATTGCCCATGCACAGAAACAGCAGAGTATGTCAGCGATACCTTGACGTGTAGTTGCCAGCTGTCTGAGAATTTGTGTATGTAGTTCAAGGAAAAATGTATGATCTTTTCATGGGTGATTTTTTTATCTTTAATAAGTGAATATGATAACGTACGCCTAATTTATTCACTTCCAGCTTTCCCAGCACTTTCAGCTGAAAGGCTGAGTCAAATTCTAAAAATGTTTAGCTCATTTTGAGAAATACTTAGAAACAATGAAAATCAAAACTTTGGAAACTCTTTATGTTTCATTACAAAAAAGAAAACCCAAAACACTTAGCTCTCTCTTAATGAACTACTGAATGGCTGTAACATCAGGTTCTGATAACGTACTGCATTCAATGTCAGTCAGTCCTGCTGCCTGCAGCATGCTTTCTCTGACAGATGTACTTCAGGAATGATGTGTTATGGAATGAATATCTCCTAGCTAAAATAAGTTGTATCGAAACTTCGCTACTTACAAAATCATTTCTTCGTTTAAAGAGTATTCTGAAAGAATAGAAGAGTGTCCATTGTAGTAGTAGTTAGTATCTGTTCTTGAACCTTGATTTTGCTATGTTTTTTAGTTACAGGAGTGTTACAGGGTAACCATCATACACAACTTGTGAAATCATGAACCTTTTTTTGCCATGCTATAGAAGGATACATTCTAGTTTCAGGAAAGCAGTGCTACAGTTAGTGCTCTATCATTATAATGAGCCCTGAGTGAGGAGTCTTGGGGAGTTCATTGCGAACTACTCTCTTCTGCTGGGGCTGTAGATTTGATAGACTTGAGAAAAAGCTAATAATAGGAAGCAAACTTTCTCCGCAAGAGCCCTTTCTTGGTTTGGTTCAGGAATTCTTTGGTCTGCTTATGTCCAACTGTATATGCTGCAAAGGCATCTGGCACACCAATGACACTATCTAAAATGTGTGTGTGTGCAGGGGGAATTATACTTCCTGTTGTTGTGCCAGTGAAAATTCCCTTTCTGGGGCAGTTGCTGGTTTTAGCCCGGAGAAATTAATATTTCGGCATAAAAGCGTGAAGGGATGTGGAATGATAACATGTTTAAGTTCTAACTATGGTGCAAGTCCCAGAGCTCTATATCAAAAAAAATATACCAGAGTGCATGTTCTGGTGAATCCAGTTAGGACCAAGTAGACATGAATAACTGATTGCCATAGAGAGGAAGTAGCAAATGGCTCCTAAAACAAAAGGGCTTTTAGGATGTGAAGTCACATCTTATTTTTAAGAACTGGTAAAAGCAGATGGTTATGTTTACATGTATTTTGTATTGAAATACATTGTGTGATATGCCAGAAATGTATATGAAATCTTGGTATTCTATTGTAACAGGCTCAGAAAATTGCAGAACATCGCCGAAAATACGAGCGGAAGCGTGAAGAAAAGGAAATCAAGGAAAGAATGGAGAGAGTGAAGAAGACGAGAGGAG